ACAGTTGAAGGGCTAGGGTTTGAGGGTGAGGAGAGGAGATGCGAGAATACAGAGGCGGCGGGTTTGAGAGAATGAGTTAGGGTTAGGGGTCGTTTAGAGTTAAAAAAGGCAAGATTTAATACAGGCTGTTGATCTCTCAGATCAACGACCATGATTTAATTGGTTTTGGGTCGGGCAAGCGGGTTTAGGGTTTGGGTTGGGTAATTCGATTAGGAATTGGGCTGGGATTGGGTTAAAATTGAGGCTAAAATTGAAATGCAATCTGGCTATATTTTACATAGCCAATTTATCTCTATATAATTTATAATAAATAGTAAATAATTTCTATAAAATGATTTCATTTAATAAAATGATTTAAAATAGATATTCAACATTTTAAAAATATAGAATGTCGTTTTGTGCATATAAAAGTTAATTGTACCCTAATAAGGCTAGTATTGCAATTATATGCAAATTGACTTTAAAAATACAGAATGCAATTATAAAAATAAATTAAAAATATTTTAACAGAATTTTGGTATAAATATAAGATTTAGATGACTAAATTACCACAACTATAATTTGAGAGATAATTATTGGGGATTTTATGAGTAAAAATAGGAGGAAATAAATCAATTTAAAATCTTTAAAATTATAGAAAAAATTATAAAAACCTTTTATATGCTTATATATGCATATATGTGCTATTTTAAAAGTATTTATGCATATAAAAAATATACGAAACAATTAGGTATCAACAGTGGTGAACTTCATGTTGTTGATAGAAGCGTCGTCGCCACCCCCGATGATCATTTGAATGGTGCGGGTTAGTGAGGGAGGTTTAAGCTGTCCCTGATGCTATTCACGTCCTCTGGAAAAGTTGGTCCTTCCCCGGTCGCTCAACAATTCTTTGATGTGCCCTTAGCGAAGCATGTTTACGACCTCCTGCCTTAGGGCGATGCAATCCTCGGTTTTGTGACCTCGCTCTTGGTGGAACTCGCAAAGGGCGTCCGACTTTCTGGTGCTTGGATCTGACCTCATCTTTTGTGGCCACTTTACCTTTGGTCTGAGCTTCTCCAATGCGTAGAATATTTCTAAAGGTGACACAAAAAACTGTGAGCGGATAATAAATGGGGCATACCTCTCTCGTTCCGGTGAGTCCCTGTCATTAGTCTAGGTGGGCCCTCTTCGTGGCAGGAGGGGGGCACGATGGCGCTTCTGACATATGGCCGATGCCATTCTCGGTTAGGTTGTGGAGCTACGAAGTCCCTCATGATATCATTTCTTCAATCCTTCCTAGATTCGGCTTGTACCGAGTTCAATTGATAAGTTGGCCCAAGGTCGTCCTCATTTGCCCGGACCTCAACACAGTAAGCGTTATGTATTTCATCCCAAGTAGTTGGAGGATATTTCATAATCCGAATTAATAACTTTCTGGTCGCCCTTGAATCATTCTTGCTCAGCTCATTTTGGAAAGCTGCGAGGGCCATTCCTTCCGATACTTTGGTAAGGTCATTCTTACTCAGTTGAATCGGGAAAGGAAGTCCCTCAATCCCTCTTCGGGCAATTGTTTGATAGAGAATATATCGTTCACTCTTGCCTCTACCTCTTTGTCCCCAGCATGGGCCATTATAAACTTATCAGCCATCTCTTCAAACGTCTCAATTGAATGTGCGGGCAGTTGTGAATACCATATTAATGCTCCTCCAGTGAGGGTCTTGTCGAAAATTTTCAAGATACTTGCTCCTTGGCGAGGTCATTGCCTTTCACAGCGGTGACATAGTGAGTTACATGGTCTTCGGGGTCGGTTGTACCATCATATATTTTCAGGTAGGGCGGCATTTTAAAGGTCTTCGGTATGACATGCGGAGCAACTTCATCACTGTATGGTTGCTCGACGAACTGACCAGCATCTCTCTTCGACAGGAGCTTTAGGGTTCCTGGTATCTTGCCGACCCTTTCTTGGTGTTCTTTCATTTGGTCCCGAAGTACTTTGTTCTCATTCTCTATTTCTTCCATCTTTCTCAAAATGGTTGTGAGGGTGTCGTCACCTGCACTGTTAACGATGTGGTGAGTAATACCTGTTATCAGAAGAGGGAATGGGCTATGCCGCTCGATCATTGCTGGTGTAACGTAGGTCCTTGCATTTTCTCTGACTATATCCTAAGAGGGCTTGTGGAGGATGTCGGTTAGTGCATCAGTTACCCAAGCCTCGAGGAGCTTTTTTACTACTGGCGGCGTCTCTTCCATCACGGACGTGGAAGCTCCTTTACCTTGAGACATTGCGATACTACCG